AGTAGCACCATACCACCAGTAGCACCATACCACCAGTAAGCACATATACCACCAGTAGCACCATACCACTAGTAGCACCATACCACTAGTAGCACCATACCACCAGTAGCACCATACTTCACCAAAAGTAGCAAATACATACTCACCAGTAGCACCATACCACCAGCAGTACCATACCACTAGTAGCAATTCATACCACTAGTAGCACCATACCACTAGCACCATACCACTAGTAGCACCATACTACCAGTAGCACCATATCACCAGTAGCACCATATCACCAGTAGCACCATACCACTAGTAGCACCATACCACCAGTAGCACCATACCACCTTAGTAGCACCATACCACCACCAGTAGCAAAATCATATCACCAGTAGCACCATATCACCAGTAGCACCATACCACTAGCACCATACCACCAGTAGCACCCATACCAAATGGGAGGCAGCACCATACACCAGTAGCACCATACCACCAGTAGCACCATACCACTCAGTAGCACCATACCACCAGTAGCACCATACCACCAGTAGCACCATACCACTAGTAGCAATCTCATACCACCAGTAGCACTCATACCACCAGTAGCAACACCATATCACTAGTAGCACCATACCACTAGTAGCACCATACCAATTAGTATGACCTGGGCCACCACTGGGGTAAGTAATCCATACCACTAGTAGCACCCCATACCACTAGTAGCACTGCCAATAGCACCATACCACTAGTGTAGCACCATACCACCAGTAGCACCCCATACCACTAGTAGCACCATACCACTAGCAGCACCGGCTACCACCAGTAGCACCATACCACCAGTAGCGACCATACCACCAGTGCTAACTAGCGCCCCACTCTAGTAGCACCATACCACTAGTAGCACCATACCACCAAAGTAAAGCAATTCATACCACCAGTAGCACCATACCACCAGTAGCACCATACCACCAGTAGCACCATACCACTAGAGCACCATACCACTAGTAGCACCATACCACTAGCAAAGCACCATACTCACTAGGTAGCAATCTTCATACCACCAGTAGCACCATATCGCTCTAGTAGCACCATATCACCAGTAGCAATCTCCATACCACTAGTAGCACCATACCACCCAGTAGCACCATACCTCCAATTAGCACCATACCACCAGTAGCACCATATCACCAGTAGCACCATATCACCAGTAGCACCATACCACTAGCAATTCTCCATACCACCAGCACCATACCACTAGTAGCACCATACCACCAGTAGCACCATACCACCAGTAGCACCATACCACTAGTAGCACCATACCACCAGTAGCACCATACCACCAGTAGCACTATACCACTAGTACCATGCACACCAGTAGCACCATACCACCAGTAGCACTGAGCTACTCAGTAGCACCATACCACTAGTAGCACCATACCACTAGTGGCACCATACCACTAGTAGCACCATACCACTAGTACCATACCACTAGTAAGCACCATACCACTAGTAGCACTAAGGCCACTCTAGTAGCACCATACCACTAGTAGCACCATACCACTAGTAGCACCATACCACTAGTAGCACCATACCACTAGTAGCACCATACCACCAGTAGCAATCTGGGATGCTCACCAGCAGCGCACCATGGGCTCAGGCAGCACCATACCACCAGTAGCACCATACCACCAGTAGCACCCATACCACTAGTAGCACCATACCACTAGTAGCAAATCTCATACCACCAGTAGCACCATACCACCCAGCACCATACTTCACTATAGCAATGGCACCAATTAGTAGCACCATATCACCAGTAGCGCACCACATACCACTAGTAGCACCATACCACTAGTAGCACCATACCACTAGTAGCACCATACCACTAGTAGCACCATACCAGTAAAGTACCATACCACCAGTAGCACCATACCACCAGTAGCACCATACCACTAGTAGCACCATACCACCAGTAGCACCATACCACTAGTAGCACCATACCCACTAGTAGCACCATACCACCAGCAGCACCATACCACCAGTAGCACCATACCAAATTAGTAGCACCATACAACCAGTAGCACCATATCACCAGTGCAGCACCATACCACCAGTAGCACCATACCACTAGTAGCACCATGTACCAAATTGTAGCAGCACCATACCACCAGTAGCACCATATCACCAGTAGCACCATACCACCAGTAGCACCATACCACCAGTAGCAATCACAACACTAGTAGCACCATACCACTTAGTAGCAATCTGGCTCAATTAGTAGCACCATACCACTAGTAGCACCATACCAACAGTAGCACCATACCACTAGTAGCACCATACCACTAGTAGCACCATACCACTAGTAGCACCATACCTCCACTAGTAGCACCATACCACTAGTAGCACCATACCAAATAAAGTAGCACCATACCACTAGTAGCACCATACCACCAGTAGCTCCATACCACTAGTAGCACCATACCACTAGTAGCACCATGCACTGCACCAGTAGCACCATACCAAATTAGTAGTACCATACCACTAGTAGCACCATACCACCAGTAGCACCACACCACTAGTAGCACCACACCACTAGTAGCACCATACCACTAGTAGCACCATACCACCAGTAGCACCATACCACTAGCACCATACCACTAGTAAGCACCATACCACCAGTGTGCCACCCATACCAATTAGTAGCACCATACCACCAGCAGCGCACCATACCTCTAGTGAAAGCACCATACCACCAGTAGCACCACACCACCAGTAGCACCATACCACCAGTAGCACCATACCACCAGTGGCACCCCATGTACCACCAGTAGCACCATACCACCAGTAGCACCATGTACCACTAGTAGCACCATACCACTAGTAGCACCATACCACTAGTAGCACCACACCACTAGTAAGCACCATACCTCTAGTAGCACCATACCACCAGTAAGCGCACCATACCACCAGTAGCACCATACCACCAGTAGCACCATACCACCAGGCAGCACCATACCGCTTCAGCACCATACCATTAGTAGCAATTTCATACACTAGTAGCACCATACCACCAGTAGCACCATACCACTAGTAGCACCATACCACCAGTAGCACCTCACACTGCACCAGTAGCAAATTCATACCACCACAGTAGCACCATTACCAATTAGTAGCACCATACCACTAGTAGCACCATACCACTAGTGTGCGCACCATACCACTCAGCACCATGCCTCACCAGTAGCACCATACCACTAGTAGCAACTTCATACCACTGGTAGCACCATACCACCAGAAGCACCACACCACCAGTAGCACCATACCACCAGTAGCACCATACCACTTAGTAGCACCATACCACCAGTAAAGTACC